ATATATATTTTTTAAATTAGATTCGAACACACTTTGGATACTTGGCAAACACACATCCATTAGATCTGGCTTTTAATTCTTCTGGTTCTCTCTTTGAACTTTACAAAAAACAAGGGGTGAGTTTTTTTTAGAGTATTTAGACAAATATTTTAAATTTTTGGGAAATTTCGAAAAACAAGGCTTTAGGCAACAACTTGATGGCAAAATGGTTGGGCCAACTCTATGATTCAGACACATTCCAACGTATGTCAGAAACACATCTAAAAATGTCCAATTATATATATATATATATATTTTTTAAATTAGATTCGAACACACTTTGGATACTTGGCAAACACACATCCATTACTTAGACATACATAAAACACATTATGAGGGTTGGTTTGGGAATAGGCCATTTTAATAACTTTTTAGTTAAAATATGAGATGAAAAAAACTATTATGTTTGGGATATTTTTTGGCTTTTTACGAAAAAAAGTGCAAAAAGTATAGAGGAAAGCAAAGTTTTTTAGCTTTTTTAGTGACTTTTTTACTTTTTGGCTATTATGAGTAGTTCCCAAACTTACCCTAAGAATGAATAAAATAACTTAGGCTCCGATGATCTAAGAAAACCTAAGAAGCATGGACACGGACACGTGACACGACACGGATACGACACGGACACGCCGACACGCTAATTTTCAAAAAATGCAGGACACGACACGCGGGGGACACGCATGAAATATATAATTTTATATATTTATTATATGTTATATATATGAATATATCATTCAAAGTTAATAAAAATATTAAATATGACAATAATTCTTATGAATTTATATGATTTTTGTTTTATTATTGTATCTTAAGTTGTTTTGTTCAAACTTATAATTGGTTTCACATGTGTCTAATTGATAGACACGTGTGTTTAAGAGATACACATGTATTCTCCAAGTGTCCAAAGAGTGTCCGGGTCTTTAAAAAATAGGACACGTTTTAATGAGTGTCGGACACGTGTCGGGAAAGTGTCCAAAGAGTGTCGGTATCCGACACGGATACGACACGGATACGTTACCTTCTTAGAAGTGTCCGTGCTTCTTAGAAGAAAACTAATGCTGATTTATACCTATTTGTTAGGACCTTTGTTTTGCAATCCCAAGTGACAAAAATCTTTTGTGTTGTATTCTTTCTTTGCTATTGTATTGTTGTGAGGTTTGTTGAGTGCTTACAATGAGAATCTATGAAGCACAAGTACGGGTACAAGTACTAGTACTAGAACGATACGGCTACGTCAATATGGTAAAATTCAAAAAAAAAATAGGGAACGGGTACGGTTTGGTACGCTTGTAAAAAAAAATATTTATTTTTAATTTAGAGTAATGCAAAAATTAATTAAATGGTTAATTTGTTAAGGTCCAACCTATAATTAACATTTAATGCCAAAAGTAAAGGCATAAATCAAAATTAAATGTCAATATATTAAATAACTTACAAACCATAGTTTAATTTTAAAATCATGTTAAACATAAAACAAAAAATAATAAAGTCTAGTGAAAGGAGTTTTATCTCGGTAGTAGAAGAAAATATTGTTTCAACTGAGGTACGGTACGACTTGGGTATATACTAGTTACGTTTAGGTACGCCAAAAATTAAGAAGAAAAAACTTGGGTACGTGTTTCGTATACCCGATACGTATGCAAAAGTACCATACGAGGTACCATACGCCAGTAAGTACCCGGTACGAGATACGGCATGTTTTTCGAAGTATCCATGCTTCATAGATGAGAATCCTATCTTGGTTGATTTGTCACTGCCTTCAGCTCTTAGTGAGTGTTCAATTGTGTTTCAGAAAGGCTGCAAGTTTTCCTTGATCGCTCGAACAAAAGAAGTGTCACCTGAGCAAACTTTTCTATCTCTCAGGATTTCAACCTTAGCCATAGAGATATTGCAAGGATGTATTCACCGCTCAAGCGACAAAAGGGGCGCTTAAGCAAAGTTTGAGACTTCTCAAGATCTCAATTTTAATCTCAAAGATACTACAAGGGTAAGTTCATCTCATTTTACTGCAAGCCTTGATTCATGCAAATAGATTTTTTTTATAACTGTTTTATTCCCTGAGATCTGGCTTTTAATTCTTCTGGTTCTCTCTTTGAACTTAACAAAAAACAAGGGGTGAGCACTATGAGTGAATTTTTTGTTTTCCCTAGTTAATTCATAAAAGTTTCCACACGTCTCTTGTAATTCATTGAGCTCAACAAGGGGCTTATAATGATACTTCTTCTCAAGCATTCTACCGGAGGATTCAGGACCTAGTTATTGGTTGTGGATTCAATATCAACAAGGGACAAATTCAAGAAGAGAATGGGCTATGAAGATTCATAAGTGTCTCAAGGTCAATCAAGTGTGGATTGGCTAGGAGATAGATTTGGTGAGATGACTTATAGTACTCGTCTTTGTTTCTCATAGTGGATTTGCTTTAGCCTATTGGCTCATGTGTTTTGACAATCACAATTGGAGGATTCCAATTGAGATTGTTTTTTCCACGTTAAAATCATTTGTCTCCAGATTTTTGACTGTTAAGATTAGATCTGAATCGATTCCATTGTTTTTGTGAATTGATTTAGATTACTCTTAGCTATTGAACATTGTTGTTGTCATCTACTTGTTTGTGATCGGAATTGGATATAATCACGAATCACAATCTCAGGACTTAGGTTTTTCACTATTAATATCTCATCCTTTGAACTTTAGAAATTAGTACATTCATATATATATGATATACATTAAATATATAAAACTATATACTACGTGTGTGTCCCCAGCATGTTGTGTCATGCATTTTTTGAAAATTGTCATGTCATGTGTCCTTGTTTCTTAGGTAAGGTGCATAAGTGCACCTAAATATAAAGCATGCACTTTGACAAGTGATCATGGGATTTTAGTTTCTATATAAGATATTTGGGATAAATTGGGATAAATGAAAGACAACAATATTGACAAGTATTATCTAGCCCATTTCTATAACACTTGCTATTCTACTCAAACAAATGAGCGTGGATACTTCAACAAACATGTTGTACCTTACCAGGTACTAATACTTTACATGATACTTCTGCATATGTGCCGAGTACACAAAACACGTACCCAATTTTTTCCCTTAAATTTTTGGCGTGCCCCAGAGGTACTTAGTATATATCCAAGACATACCAAACCAAACCAAGCCTTAGGCCTCGTTTGGGAACCCTCTATTTTAGCCAAAAAGTCAAAAAGTTACTAAATTAGCAAAAAAGCCAACAACCCATACTAAAAAGTCAAAGATTTTCTTTTCTCTCTACCTTTTGCACATATTTTCGTAAAAAGCCAAAAAGTCATCCCAAACATACTAATTTTTTTTAGCTCATATTTTAGCCAAATAGCCAAAAAGTTACTAAATTAGCATGTTCCCAAACGGGGCCTTAAGATCCATTAAACAGGGTCGACTACATGAATCCTTCTTCTCCACCTCAATCAGATTTTTTTTTTTTTCTCTATACACAAAGGTAAAGTTAGTTGCAGTGGACCTTTTTCATACTTTTTATGCTAACCATGATTTTAAAATTAAATTTAATATTTTTATGTTTGGTTTATACCTTACTTGTGGCATTAAATGCAAATTGGATCTTAACTAACTAAACCATTTAACCAATTTTTATATTACTCTAAAGTAAAAATAAATATTTTTTTACAACCATACCAAGTTGTACCCATATCCTACTTTTTTTAGATTTTACCATATTGACATACGCATACCAAACCCATACCCCATATGCATTCAAAAAAAAAAAAACCCTACCCCATACGAATACCCGCCGTACACGTGCTTCATAGCATGATACCTAGTGGTGCTTCAACTACAAAAAGTAAATTCAAATTAGATAGAAAAGAAAAGAAAATACATAGCAGGAGTGTTCGCGGATCAGGTTAAGTCGAGTGGCCTCCCATCCGCCATCCTTCCAAACTTAGGCGGATTGGAAAAGCCAATCCGCATCCGTCCGCTTAGTTAGCGAATGCAAATTGAGCGGGTTGGCGGGTCAATGCGAATCGATTTGGTAGTTTGGACTTTACTTTTTATGTTTTTCTTTTTTCTTTTTTTTTTGAACTATTTTAAAATAATTTTTTACTATTTTGGACCTCATTTGAGTCCATAATTTTTTATCTTTCGTTTTTTATAATTAAAATAAAGGCCAAAATTTCATATTTCATAAATACCTCATATCATTACGAAATAAAATGTCATTTTTTTAACATACAAAGCATATAACATCATTTTCTTAAAGGAGGTTGGCGGATCGGGTTGGGTCGGATGGCCTCTCATCCAACATCCATCGGAACATAGCAGATTTGAAAAATCTCCATCCACATCCGTCTACCCATAATATCGAAACTGCTTAAAGCGGGTGGATTGGGTCGGGTCGGGTGGGTTTTGACGGTCTAATCGGACCCATGAACACCCCTAAGTAGAGCATAAATGGTAATACCAATAAATAAAGACCAGGTTATAGTATTAATAGTGGAAGCAAAAATATTCCTACTTAGATTCATGAAGAAGATTTTAGAAATTTGAGAGAGAAAAAAAAAAGTTCTTCAAATTTAGTACCTAATCTGGAAAGAAGTTCCCATGACACACCTATAATGCTCTCAATTTTTTTTAAGAAAAAGGGCACACAAACAATGCAGTAAAAACAGGTTGATAGATGCAATCAAGATGTGTAAGCTTAAATAACCTAGCTTGACTTCCACAATCATTGTGGTTGTGTGTGTATTTATCATGCTCAAGTTGTAATGACAATGGCATCAGATATATTAAACATATGAACACAGGACGTAGTCACTTAGTAATGTTCTACTACTCTTTTAACCACACAGCTTAGAACTTCTTCAGTAATGTAAAATGAAGCCATTACCCACATTGTCCAAAAGTAATATTTTGAAATTGAACAAATGTAAGCACTCATATGGGATGAGGGTGACAATTTACTGACCTGTGACTGGTAGTCCCATATGTACACAGTTCCCGAATAAAGACTTGCAAGTATCCTGCCAGAAAATCATCAAGTGCCATACTAATCGTAAGAATTCTACTTGTCACTTTTAATCACTTTAATCAATAAGCACTCAATAATTACCATGTTTCTGTTGGATGTATATCCACACATTTTACTCTTTCAGTTCTTTGTATGAACTTTTTCTGATCATTAGGCAATCATTAGCAAAACTAAACACAGAGCAAAGCACAAACAATATATTTATTGGAAAATATGATAAATTTTAATACATTGCAACATTAATACCTTGATTTCAAGTCTGAGAGGCTGTAAAATTCACCAAATTGTATGTGCAAACAGCAAAAAATAAAAATAAAAATACTCAATGTCAGTACAGAGAAGTCTTCAAAGCTCAAATCGATTAAAATTCAAAATATTCATTCGAAACTGGTTCAATTACATAAATAAATAAATAAAACCAAAAAAATTAAAAATTAAAATGCAATGAAATACTGTGAACTACATAAATCACTAGAGAGTAGTCGAATTTAGAGGGAAAACGATTAATTCAAATGCAGAGGCAAGCTCTGAGAAATTCAAACAAATGAATACGTAAATATGCAAATACGTTTGAACATGTATGTGATAATTGGGACAGATCTGAGTTAGATTTGATTCAAAAGCATACAAAGGATGAGACAATGTGAAGAGTTTAATTACCATTTCAGTGGATAAGAGAGGAGAGAGAAATGGTTTGATCGAAGTAGTAGTTGTAGGTGAGAAGAGCAGAGATCGAACTGATTGGAGAGTGAAGTCTTCGATGGCGGTTTTCGTTTCGCTCCAAACGAAGAGCAGTGACGAAATAGAGAGAGAGAGAGAGAGCGAGAGAGATGGGGAGAGGTTTAGACAAAGAGAATATTATACCCATCGAGGGATGTATAAAAAAAAGAGCAATCACCTTGGTTGTTTCTTACCTTTTAAAAAAATACTTTTTAAAAAATTCTATTTTTTTATTTTTTATATTTTTTAATTTTATTAAATTTTTTTAATATTTTCAATAATTGTTTTACTTTTTAGACATACTTAACAAAAATACACTTAAAAAATAAAAAAAATTATAATTTTTTTTTAAATTCACTAAATATCAAAAATACAAAAAAATATAAGAATTCAGTATATTTTTTTATATTTTTATTTATTTATTAATTTTTTAAAACATTTTTTCACAATTTTTTTACTTTTTAGATACATCTAAGTAAGGTGCATCTAAAAAAGTAAAAAAAAAATTAAAATTATTAATTTTTTATCTATTCAAATCCATCTAAATTTTATTGTCTGTTCAAATTTTAAACAAATCTGTGCAATTTTTTTTAATCTGTTGCAAATTTGTTTCATCATCATCAACAATAATTAACAATCATCAGCAACAACAACTACAACTATAACTATAGCCACAGCTACCACTACACCCAAAAAACAAAACAAAACAAATTCATTTGAGATCTATAGAGAGAAGAAAGATTTGAATAGATAGAAAAAATGTTATCACCCTTATCTCTCTCTCTCTATATATATATATATCATGCACACACCTCACTACCGTGCAACAAATCTGGCCACTAAGGTCGTCAAAGAAATGACTACAAAAAATAAATCTAGTATTCATTTTCTTTTTATTTACTTTAATTTTCTCAGCAAACAAACATAGAAATGAATGGATAGGCATTCTTTCGAGATTAACCTCTAACTCTCTAATAAAAATTAAATTAAATTATAAAGATATATTGGTAATTTATCTCGAGAAAAGATACGGCACACTACACAAGGTCCGAGACTATAATTATACCGTTTGGATCTATTTGGTTTAGAGTTATAAACATAGTTTTTTCTTTTTTTTTTTTTGAATTCTTTTAATATTTTATTTAAATTTTGGGCGTTCGGCTCATAAATTTCAATTTGAATTTTATTTGGCCATAAAGACAAACTTAGGCAAAATGATCATACTGCACATATATACTTATCATACACATTTTCTTTTCTTAATTCTCATTTCTCAAAACCTACTCTCTCTCTTTCTCTCTCCCTCCATCTCATCTCTCATCAGCGAACACCACTGATCGAAAGAGTGGTGTTGTGGTTATGGATGACCATGGAGGCGGAGTCTCTCTCATTTTCTACCATCCTCTACTCCTCATCTATCTCTGCCACTGTCATCGCGTCTTCAGCGATGGCAGTGCTGATATTCTCACATCATCACTTCCTCCTCCGCTGTCACAACTACTACTGCTCCTACCACCACCTCCGTCGCCTCTTCTCCTCTTCGCCATCCTCTCCTTAGATTTGTTCAGCATATTCGTTGTTCGGATCTAAGCAAAAACCAAAGGACTTAGCCATCTACGGTGACCTCCTCGTAGTTAGCGATGAATTTGCAATCGCTGTCATGATACAGTGGTGGATCAACGGCATAGTCGTCGGTTTCTCTCTTCGTTTCTCTCTTTGAACCATAAGTATATATTATAGATCTGTATATATATATATATATAGGTCTCTCTTTAAATTTGTAAATTCTCTCTCTCAATCTCTTTCAGATATGTTACACAAAATCTACAGATCTCTCTCCAGATCTATTCAAAAGTACCCTTTTTTTGTAGTTCTTATTGTTGTTGGTTGTATCTATAGATCTCTCTTTAGATCTGTTCAAAATTGCTATTATTATTATTATTATTATTGGCCATTGTAATTGTAATTGTTATTGTTGTTGTTGTTGATGATGATCATCATAAAACAGATTGCAACAGATAAAAAGATAGAAAGAAAGATTTAAACATATAAAAAAATTGAACAAACTGCAACAGATATGGGTTCATTTTGGGTATCTATTGCAACAAATAGGATTTGATTTGATTGGTATTTCAACAGATAGAAAAAAAATTGAACAGATAATAAAATTTGGACAGATATTTGAATAGAAAGAGGAAAAAATTGAATAGATTGTTAAAAAAATCAGAACTGATAGTCCAAAAATTTAAACAAATAGAAAATAATTTGAACAAATAGATACATATTTGAACAGATATTCAAAAAAATTAAACAAATAAAAAAAAGTCAACAGATAAATTAAGGAGTAAAATTGAAAACAAAATGTCCTTCAAAACAAACAAAATGATTTCTCACCAAATCATTTCACACATAGTGGACTTCTTACCCACAAAAAATATCCACCGGACCTAATTTTTGTTGACTTTTTTTTGTACTATCCATTTAATTTTTTTATTATCTATTGATATATTTAATTTTTTTGACTATCTATTCAAATTTTTTTATATGTTTAATTTTGTTCCCTTATATGTTTAAATATATGTCCAAATTTTATTATTTGTTCTATCTATATGTCTAAATTATTTTATTATCTGTACAATATATTTGTCATAATTTTATTATATGTTCAATTTTTTTCATCAATTTTATTTATTAATTTTTTATCTATTCAAATCCATCTAAATTTTATTGTCTGTTCAAATTTTAAACAAATCTGTGCAATTTTTTTTAATCTGTTGCAAATTTGTTTCATCATCATCAACAATAATTAACAATCATCAGCAACAACAACTACAACTATAACTATAGCCACAGCTACAACTACACCCAAAAAACAAAACAAAACAAATTCATTTGAGATCTATAGAGAGAAGAAAGATTTGAATAGATAAAAAAAATATTATCACCCTTATCTCTTTCTCGCTCTCTCTATTTGTTTCAAGTTCACACACACACACACACACTCTCTCTCTCTCTCTATATATATATATATATCATGCACACACCTTCTCTACCGTGCGACGAATCTGGCCATTAAGGTCGTCAAAGAAATGACTACAAAAAATAAATCTAGTATTCATTTTCTTTTTATTTACTTCAATTTTCTCGGCAAACATACATAGAAATGAATGGATAGGCATTCTTTCGAGATTAACCTCTAACTCTCTCTCTCTCTCTCTCTCTCTCTCTCTCTCTCTCTCACATCTTAGTATTGAATCTTTTTACTATTCGAACCAAAGATCACCACCAACCCCAATCGGCGGCCCAAATCTCTTTAATGTTCAAATCTATTCAAATCTTTATATTTCCCCCCCAATCGACTCATTGTTGACGAGGTCTGGTTTTGGGAATTGCACTAGATCAATGAGACCTCCGGCTGAAGAACCTTCACAAATGAATCTGTCAACAACGACCTGGTCTGAGTCGTTAGCTGTCGCATCAATCTCCTTCTCACTAATGACGGCCTCTCCACTGTTATATCCAAGCCCAACGGTGTCACCTCTGGCTTCTTGTCATCCTCATCGTCGTTGGCCTCATCGTTGTCATTGTAAATGGTAAATATGATTGGAGATAGAAAAACTTGTAGAGAAATGGAGATTAGGAGAGAGATAAAGGGTTTGGGTGGTCGGTGAGAGAAACAGTGGAAGAGAGAGAGAGAGAGAGAGAATGAAAGTAAATAGAAGAGAGGGGGCTAACATTTGCAATTAGGGTTTGAAATCAAAGGGTATACGATAGATATATTACATATGGGTAGTTTGGTCATTTCATCTAAGCTTGTACTTCTGGACAAAGTATTTTAAAGTATAGACGTTTTGGCAATAAATTGTCTGAGAGTCACGATCAATATGAGACCTGGTCGAAGAGAATGAAACACACGTAGTGGTCATTAAAAAATAATATAGTAATTAAGGGTCCCGGCCCACAAATAAATAGGAAATGAGGCGAGGGTTTCTTTTGCAACGGCGTGGGGCATATAGTGTAATTTGGACCAAGAGGGCATACGATGTCCAGTACATAAGTGGTTCCACACCCATATGCAGAGAAGTCAAAGGCAAAGATGGAAAGAACAAATGGCTCCCATTCTACTCTGCTGATGATGGTATCGACTACTCGATCCTCAACTTCGAAATATTAGGAACAAAGATCAGAATTCGTTTCGTTGGGCGGATTAGGCTTTAGGGAAGTATGTAGAGGGGAAGTAGAAGTGAGGACGGTAGGGAAGTTTATCGAAGATCCTTGGGAGTGGGGCAGTTTAGTTTTTACCAGGCGGTTTGGTTTTGCCTCTCAAAACTCATTCGACTGAATTAAGGCGACCAGCCACAGCAAGGGAAGAGAGGCTCGCTCTATGTTAGCAACTTGTCTTTTTTCTATGTTTAGGTCTTTGTGTACGTGACGCCTAGCTACAAACTCTATATGATTCAGCAGGTGCCACACTGCCTTATGCATCAGTGGCATCTTCGCTCTAAACGAGTCAAGATGTACCCCGTGAAACCTTTTAGAAAATTTTAGAACATGACATCAGCAATCTATGGGGCAATTTATAATGAGATTACAAATCCCAATGAGGGGAATGTAATTTTTCAATGTGAAGGGAATATTTGTATTAAATAGAAATCTCAGAGATGTCAATATAATTTTTATTCTAAAATAGTGAAGTATTAGAACTATGTCATTTTTTTTATAACAAAGCATAATTTTAATTGTTAATTGTCAATAGAACAATTTTAATCTATGTTTATGAGTAAATATTATAGTAAAAGAAAATTTAAAACAAAACTCTTAAACTTATATATAAAATTTTATTTACGAGAAAAAAATACAAAATTAAATATAATTATCGTATTTTTAATAAATAATATATTATTTTATCCCGTGCATAGCATGGGTGACATGCTAGTCTATACTATATATTAAGCAAAAGGGGGTTTTTAACCCCAAGTCTTGTAAGAGCTCCAATCTCCCAATCTAAATTTCCTGATTTTTTGATTTAAAAAAAAAAATCTTAACATTTATTAACTTCTCCCAACTCCCAAGTCTTATCATCATAATAACACTTTAATGTATTAAGAACAAGCATAAAAAAAATTCTTT